AAGCTCGGCAAAGCATGTTGGGAACACAAATAAGTGTGAAGAAAAGCGGGGAAGGGGAAAAAAACAAGAATTCAACCAAGCTGTGCAACAGTTACTCTCGGCTACTCCTTACACGTAAAGCACATGAAACTGGACATATAGGTTCATGGGGGGAGCTGACTCGCAGCTAGACCTTTCATGCTGGTTGAATCCCAAAAGCAGACTTTCTCAGGGGCGCCAGATGCTCATGCGTGAACCTTCAAGAACCTTCAAGAAAGTGCAACAAAGATGGCCCCAGGTTTAGCAGCGACCTCTAGTCGCATGTTACCATTGGAGCCTCTGGGAGGCGACCGGTTTTGGACTGACAATATCTAAAATCTAAAGCTGCAAATCCCAAAACTTGGGTGCCTGAAGCTGTCACAGTTCTCGCTAAGAGGCCCTGCTTCGATCCTCCAAACAGATCACCGACCCCGCGGTTCGAACTGGCCTATGCACTCTGGCTTAATGGCAAAGGGGAAGTGAACCAACACCAAGTCGATGTAGGGCTTCGACTCGCCGTAAAAGCCCAACATTTGTAGGTTGTCCTGAGGGTCAACAGCCCAGCTTGTGCGTGGTCAAAACCAAGAGTGTAGTAATTGGGTGAATTGGTTGATACACCCAAGTGGGTGGAGATAGTGTTGACATCTGCAGCCAACATATCCCTAACAAATGATACGTGTGATACGTGGGAGTGGCCTTTTTTCGTGCGGTGCGGCTGCAGCATGCCCATTCTCCAGCCATATGGGGTAACTCTGGCCCCTTGGAACGAACGCACTGCTCCCTTGGAACGAACCACCACAGGAAACCACCATCCTATACACAAGCCAGCTTTGTGAGGCTCAGTCTTCCAGTAGCCGGGCCCGAAACAGGAACTGCCCGCAATTCCACCACTCCACCAAGAAACCATCCAGCAGTATATCTTAGGGCAACCGCTTTTGGAACATTGCTTGGCACACTCAAATCAGGCAAGGGTCTCACTTGCGACACCAAAACTGACTCACTTGCGACACCAAAACCTACCCAGGACAGACTCACTTGCGACACCAAAGCGGAGTCATTTGCGACACCAAGACTACTACTACTACTACTACTACTGCTACTACTGCTGCTGCTGCTGCTCACAGGCACACGGGCACACCTTAAAATATTGATTTCGTGGCAGGCGCGGGTGTCGGACATGAAGTGCAGATTTCGTGGCGCGGGGGGGGTTGGGGGGGGGGCGCAGCGCCCCCCAGCAGCACACCACATCCAAAGGTGAGCACGGGCGCGTCACAAGTGAGCCAACAGCTCCGCGTCACATCCGAGTCCGAAATCCACGTCACAAGTGAGACCTTTTCCCTCAAATCATGCAAAACTTGGTTCAACGTCATATTGCCAAAATGAGGCAGGTCATTCCGGCATAAGTCATATCATAGAAAAGTGAACCCCCCCCACTTGTTTAACCCCAGGCATCACAGAGTGCGAGAAGAAGGGAAAGCCTCTCCCCACCCACAAATATATAAACCGTCTTGAAACATCTTGGAGCACATCAAACTCTCCTATTTCAGCCGGGTCAAAAGTGAATTGCACTCGGTTGTCGTCAGCACTCCAGCTTTCCCCGAGTCGTGTCGTAGCCTTGCCTCGATGCATTGCAAAGTGGCATTGAAGCCAATTGCCCCAGGACACTTGGTTGTAATGAAGACCTCCTGCCTAGATTTCCTCGTCGCGGAAGGCAGGTCATGGAACAGAACGTCCATCAAGATGCAAAATCATTGTAGAAACAAGAATCCAACATGCAAACAAACACACACCGGATAAAAAAAAAGAAACAATAAGACAACCACGAAGGGGACATTCATGCCAAATGCCAACATGCGTTCATTTGTTCTGCCTTCTCCGCACTCACACAGAAACCATGGCACATTTTGAGTCCCATTCACTCCTGCAACCACCTCGTTTCTGCCAAGCTTCCCGGAGGCCTTTAAGGCCTCACCTACCTGCACTTGGGTCCGGTAGTCATTCGCCTGGTGGTCGAAGAAGGCGATCGGATGGAAAAAAATAACTGCACCAGCACCGCCAGCACGCTCAAAAGCACACGGCCACCCAGGCTACAAAGCGCACTCAGGCACCTCTTCCTATATACTTGGAGCCAGAACCCCGATAGCTCGCGCTATCTGGAGAAAACAAGGACACCAGTGTCCCATCAACCACAACACATCTCAGTAGCATCCAAGAGTAGGGACGATTGGAGAAAAATCTGTTCAGCATCTTCCTCTCCAAATCCCAGCCCAGCCTTCCTTATATATATCAAGGTCCGCCCCTTCCCATCCCTCACCTGTCCACCGCCCAGTCGCAGTGTCCACGTGCGTGCCGTTCAGCTCTTGCAGCCACGTCTGCACCGCGCCGCGCGCATGCGCCTGTGCGCAGGTGTAGTTGTCTTGCGCGCAGTCCTCGAAGCCGAGAAGGGGTTAGGAAGGAAGGAAGGAAGGAAGGAAGGAAGGAAGGAAGGAAGGAAGGCAGCGCTTCTCCACAGCAGTGCAGTGATTGGAAACACTGCCATCTTAGATCTGACTGTTGTCCTCAAGGCTTTTTCAAACATTGTGGGGATCGCGGATAAGTCCGATTCCGATTCCGATTTGGTATTGTTATGCTTTGTTGATGTCTTTTTGCAAACTTTTTAGCCAATCCATGTCCCTCTGTCATTGGAAACCAATGTCTCCAGCAAATCTCTCTTGCCTTGTAGCTCCCGCGCCAAGAGCCCAAAGCAATCATTGGCATCTGCACCGAATGCGGCAGCTGCACGCAGGGCACCACACCACAGGAAACTCCATCGGCAGCCGTCACTGCTAGCGCCCCGACCCAAACCGCGAGGCGTGCCATTCCGTGGGTAAGCATCTTAGGTGGCCGGATGAGCAAAAAAGGCTGCAGGAGATGTTTTCGCCAAGGGCTGGAGCGGCACAAAGAAGTGCGGCGAAAGGGGAGACGTGTCTCATCTTGAGGAGTAAGTGGTGAAGGTGTATACCCTGAGAGGATAAGTGTGACTGAACGAGCATGTTTCAAGTTATTTGAGCGCAGGATGCCAGGGTAACTTAATGTCTCCTTAAATGTGTGTTGGTCCTGAGAATGACGGACCCCTGATTTCCTGATTGGAAAGATTCAGGACCCTTGATTATATCCAAATCACCTCGGAGGAGAGGTTAATTATAGACTCTTGAAATCATTGGTCGTTGATCTGCAAATAAAAAGCACACACATGTGGTGGGTCCATGTCTGTCCGATGGCTAACATGCATGTCATCTTGAAACATGTGCATGTGCGCAGTTCAACGCGTTTCGATTGCTGTAGACCCCGAACCGCACGCGAGTTTCGTCCGAGTACGGCGAGTCGACGCACGGTCTTTCCTCCAGATTTGTGCGTCGGACTCCGCCCCTCAGGTCCTTCAAAAAGGGTCCTGAAAGATGCCTGATCGGCTGAGCGGTGTCTGGCACGGGGCTTCCTCTAAATTGGCAGGGTCGTGGCACACAAGGCCGAGGTTGGCATATGCAGCAGGGTTCGCTATGCTCTCAACACTCTGGGCTCGACCCTTCCCTTCGGAAGCCAAGCCTGCTTCTCGCGTGCGTCGCTACGCATGAGGGAAAAATCATCAAGGCGAGGGCCCAGATCGGAAGCATAGGGGGAGCTAGGCACGCTTGTGAGCTTTGTTTACACTGTACATGTTGCACATATGTTTTCAATTCTTGTTTTGTAAATCACATGCGGTTTCTTTTCTTGCGCAACTGCACCCATCTTTGCGTACATCGCGCTTACATTTGTTGCCCCAACAGGAACTCACCTAAATTTGCCCAGGAATCCTGACCTAAAGTAGTCTTCATTGTCAAAACATGTCCTCTTTCCGGAATGCGTTCACGGAGGGGGATGGTGTGGTGTGCAGTCTAGGCTTCCCATAAAAAGGCCCCCAAAGCAATCACATCAAAGTCAATGAGTAAAGCATTGCCTTTACCAATATGATGTCTTGAGGATATTTCAACTGATGATTCTCGCTTACCCTGCCCCCTCACATTGACATGGCCTCATAGTGAGCACATATTTGGCTTATATGCACCTTGCTTTCTACAATTTTCCGACAAGGCCCATCACATTGTGTCAATCAGATTCTATATCTCTACTCTGGTTCTTGTGGCTTTTGCAGGCCCGAGAGCTCTCCTCAAAGTTGTTCTGATGCAGGGCCGCGATTTCGCGACCCTTGGCCCAGAATCGCAGCTCGCCAGCATGGGCGTCATGCATCAGCGCCGGGACGGACTCGTTGAAAGTCGAGGTCGCCCAACGAATTGGAAGACCAAGAATGGAAGGTCATGCGAAGAAAAGACTGGAAGAGAACATGAACCTTTCTGTAAAATGTGCCAAGAATGCACACATTGGCACAATCTTCCATCCGACCATCTGACAAATCAGTTGGCTCAGGCCGACCAGTTGACTCGCTTTACCATCCACCTTACATGATGGATCCGTCCATTGGATCGATTCATATCGATTCTGATCCTTGGACCCCCTCACGCTCATATCCTAAAAAAATCCCGTTAAACAAAAAAAACAAAACGAAGCCCGTGTGCCTTCCAAAAAAGCCCCCATCGGCCCCCCTCGTGCCCCGTGGTCTTTGTTCAATGACCACGGACCTCAACTGATCCAACACAGAATCTTGCAAAGCCAAGCAGCCAAGCAACAAAAAAACATGCATGCCCTCATCTGCGCCGGCTCGTCTGGGGAATGTCAGGAGTTTGGTTTTTGTGTTGCCGGTGTGAGAAAGGGAAGAGACCTGAAAGTGTCTAGTCACTAGTACTGTCACTAGTCACGTCCGAGCGAACACTTGGTCATAATCCACTAGCCTAAATATTCAAGTAACGGCTGCGGTACAGTACCCGTACAACCCCTTTCAATTGCCCAACATAGAAACTGGTCTGGTGATGATGCAATTGCGAGCCTTGATTGGTAGGCCTGATCTGTATCTTACATTTGATGAACTTACAACTCCCAATTTCCTGGCTCTTGCCCACAGCCTTTAGATCCCAAGCGCATGCTCAAGAAACAAGGACGTGGGCACACAAGCCAAGATAACTGTGCTATGTACACTGAAGTTCTTTCATAAGCCGACAGCGCACATGTCTTGGGACAACACGAGAAGATCGGCCAAATCATAGTTGCAGCTTGGCATTCCTTGGCGTAGGCCGTGGCTTGGACAATGACTGTGACAAAGTCGGGGTTCCCGCAAGATGAATGATGAAAGTAGTCCAAAGTGTGGTGAACTGTGCAAGCTTTTTTGTCAAGTCAATCAGTCAATCTCACAAAGGTAGAAGGGGTGGCGTAGCACGGGTGCCCACATCCACAACATCTACATGAATGCTGAATCACTGCGGCCTATGCTTGCTCTATGTTCTCTGCTTTCTTTCCACGGGCACGGTGCGGACGGTGCTCTCTCGCGCAAAAAAGGTCCGCACTGAAGCACATAAATCAGTATACACACTCCCTGAAACAATCATGGAGGTGGAACGTAGGCCCCCCCCTTTTTTGGGGGGGGGCTGGGGCGTCCAAACGTAGGCCCCTGGAAGACCAATTAGGGGGTTGTCAACTTCCATGTTTGTTGGAGGGAAGGTACCTCCTTTGTTTTTGGCCAGGTTGGTCCACAAGAGGTGGATAGCCTATGCCAAACATGTGTCACAACTTCATCCTCAACCCGCTGAAGAAGAGCCACCCCCCAAAGTTCACAGCCGCCATCCAGGTAGACTACCCTATACATCCCTATAATACATATCCGGTTGTACTGGGACCTAGGGTCAGTACCTTATACTACCTCACCCCTTAGGATGGCCTGTCTGCCCGTCGCTCCAAGCAACGCCAAAGCGATGAACCGGCCACAACGGTGGCGACCAACCGCGGACCGCAGGTTACCTGCCGGTCACGTCGTGCCACAAACCGCGAGCTTCGCGCAACAGCCGCGGGCAGCCAAAGCGGAGAGCTCAAAACCTCGGCTTTGAGCAGTAGGAGGGAAGGCGACTTATAGCTCATGTTTTTCACACCACCAAATCTGAGGGACTAAGCTGCACGTTAACGAGTTCAATTGATAACTTCATTCATATAACTTCTTTAAGCTCAATGTTCAAAAGGAAGGGAGATCAGGCGATTGAACAACACCCTTTGGGTACAGTTATGAACCGGCTTTTCCTGTCGGGTTTTGCGGTCATATCTGGTACACTTTAATGTTAGTTCTTGGTGGTCCTCTTTCCTCTATCTAAGCACTGGTGTTTGCTCGCTGATCTTTGTGTTTTACGGAGTTTCCGCGCATCCATCATCCATCATCCATCAAATGTTCCGAAGGTTTTTGTTGAGCTCTTGATTTGCATTGCTTGCGCTGGCTCTCGCAAGCCAGCCAAAGGAGTTCTCTGGGCCGCCCTGGATTCCAGAGTGGAACCCACATGGTCCAACACAAATTCCGAGAAAATAGCAAACATGAAATGAACTTGATAAATATATGCCAAAGCCGGCCAGTCTTTCCAACCACTAGGTCAACCATGATTCCTCTCAGCAGGGGCTGGTTCAATCACAAGCCACCACTCAATCGACAGCACTCCATTGATGCATTCAATCGCACATGCTTCAAACTCACACCCCAGAAGTAGTAACTTCACAACTGGAGTCCAAATTCCATATGATGAATGCTAGCTGTTATATAGTCTGAGATCGTGTTCTAAATCAACCGCAGTTACTACCCAAACGAGCTTCTGATGAGACCTCATCAACCAACACGTCAGCCTGGACTCATGGGCTCCTTCGAATTCCAAGGGACGTGATGGGCTCCTTCGGACGAAACTGCATCCAAACCTGGACGGCGGTCGAGACGTGGACCACGGACCCAGCTGCGGACCCTGTCGGGACCCTGAGGCTCCGGTAGATCCACGTGCCACGTCGGAGAAGCCACCAATGGCTTAAGGCTTAAGCCAGGTATGAAAAGGTCAAACCCAATGGCTTAAGGCAACCCAAGCGAAACCGGAAGGGAGGCTTGCTAAAGTGCCAACACCACCGACCAATGCCAACCATTTCGGCATTGGTCATCATTGGTCGAACATGGTACGTCTGCTCAAAAGACCCCTTCAACACACTTTCTCCATCATCTTGCTCCATCATCTTGATCCATCGCCCATAGAAACCCACCTCATCCCACCCACCCATCGCCTTCTCTTCCTCCGGCGTGACGGCTCGGATTCCACCGTGGTATCCGCCAATTCCGCATCTTCGAATGATGCCATCCCCCACGACGACCCTGAGGGGGACGGGTTTTGAACAACGATGCCCGTTCAAGAAACATGACATGTTTTTACTATGTCTCTATAGGCCCTATGTTCTTCATTTCTTATGTTGTTTCAATCGACGCTATTCTTTTCGGTCCTGGTTCGAAAACGTTCGGGGATCCGAAAACGCCCCGGCCAAGTCTCGTGAGTCCACCCCAAATGCAGGACGAGACCAGCGAGAACTGATCAGGAGATGAACAAATCCTTGCTGTTCCTTTCACCCCCGAGACCAGGTCAACCCACAGAAATGGAGCGTTCCAGTGCTTGCAGGGACGCACCAGCTCGGTATGACATCCAGCTCTCTCGGGGTCGTTCGTTCCCGTTCGAACGCGCACGGGGTCGACGGGGTCGTCGTCCGCCCAGGCCTTAGTCGATACCATCGGGAGTTCGTGGGGAAGTGGGGGAAGATGAGCGTCACAGCGGCACCACTGCCGCCTCGCTCGATGCGCTCCACTCTGCCATACCACCAGCCGAAGGGGCTGCCTCAGCTGAGCGCTTGGGGACGAATGAAACGGGTTAGCCAACAGGAACCCAACGAAGGCTGAGCAGATCCACCGGCCTGGGATCTTTGAGTATTTGCGGCGGACATGCCCAAAAACAACATTGTTGCAGCAGGAATCCAAGGATAACACAAGGACACTACATGCTACACAACTGGATTGGAGTGTATGCAGTGGATGAGCTGGACCCTGTTCGCTCTAACCGCACTTGAGCTCCATCGATGTGAAGCAGAAAACCCGTCTGTGATGGCTCAAATCTGTCCAACCAGGCTGGCATGGAAACTTAATTTGAGATTGGTCAGTCGGCATCTTTGAAAGCAAATGAACTACGGCTCCGAATCTCTTTCGCAAAGGGCCAGTGTGCTTCAACATGTTTCACCACTACTTTTGTTCCAAGGGGTGCATCGGATGGCGGAAAAAATCTGCCAAGGAACCCATCTGCATCTTCCACTGCAGTTCTACCCCTCGCTGGCCGGGTGGCCACGTGATGTGGTGAGGTCACGTGACTCGTGAGGTGGTGAGGTGACTCGTAACTTGGCCAAACCAAGAAGTCACATCCTAAAATCCTAAAACCTCCACCGCAACAAACCGGATGGGCTTCATCAAGAAGGATGTGTGGGAACGGAGAAGAGCCAATGAATAGATTGGACACATATTTCTGCAGTTTTGAAGGCTGCTCCTTTGGCACGCGTGGAAAAGAACTGTAAGAGTGTCTATGTTGTTGCCACTAAAGTCAATTCTCCTCAATGTGCAGAGTAAAGGACAACTCTAATGCTATTCCGGCAAGACAACACCTCCGAGAAAAAATGTCCCTGAGATGCATTTGCAGTCAGGCAATCTTGGCAGATTCGCTGGCTAAGTGTATGAGTGGGGATGTTCTGAGGGAAGCCTTGGGAACTGGGGCATACCGTCGGTTCGACGAAGACCTGACACTACAAACAGATCTTCCAAAAGGGACGGAAGAAGAAAATGGTTGAAGACAAAGGAGACGAAGGAAATGTGAGTGCTTACTCCATTTGAGGTAGCCAACCATAATCGTCCCTTCTGCCTGAGCATTGTTTTCTTCCCTGTCTTGGCTTTAGCCACCACCCGCAAACAAAAGTGAACTTCTATGCTAGAATGTTAAGCCATTTTGGAGACGTTTTTGCTTTAATCATCAGTGTGCAGGATCCTTCGAAAGAACCCTCTAAACCGTCCAGAAACGCCCGACATCACATGTGCAGAACCGGCGGAGCCAGCGGCTTCCTTCCGAACTCATTCAGCCGGGCCAACCTGCCTTGCCCCAACGCCACGCCATCGAAGTCTTTCAAAACTCCTCGCTCCATCGAACCAACGGAGCCGTTTCGGTTCAGAACATCCATCCGAGTCCGGCCCTGGAAGGGAAAGGCGCGCCAGGGCCGCCGCGTATTTGTGGGGTGCACTCATGCTTAAGACGGATGAACAAAAACACCATGGGGCCATGTTCAGTGAGGAGGCTGGCTTTGATTGAAGGTGTAGTTCAGTATATCTCAAGAAGAGTCTGGTATATCTCTGGGATATCTGATTGGCGTGTTCCGGAGTGTAGTGCATTCATCTCTATTGTCCATCTTGCTGGGCAAGACCAAGAATATCCAAAAATCAAGTAAGGGGCTAAGAGTTTGCTCCATGGAGCGTCTGTTTACTCAATTGCTACCCCTGTCGAAAGCTCCCACTACATCCTCAGGTCATTGAACCACCCACCCCAACCCTGAGCTTGTTGAAGGTGTTGGGGACGAACAACTGTGCATGCACATGTGCATAAGACATTTACTTGTACCAATGATGTATTTTGGGTGTACCTTTGTCAATAACATACATGTATGTGTATATATCTATCTTTCTTTCTTTCTTTCTTTCGTTCTTTCTTTCTTTCTTATCAATCTATCTATCTATCTATCTATCTATCTATCTATCTATCTATCTATC